CCCCACCCCTGGGCCCCGCACCCCGCCCCGGCAACCCGGCTCAGCACCCTGCAACCCCGGCCCCGCACCCTGCCACCGGCCCGACCCCTGCACTCTGACACCGCCCCCGACCACCAGCCCGCCACCAACCCACGGCTGGACCCCGCTGGCGCACCCTGCCATTCACCCCCGGCACTGCACCCCACGCCTCCCGAAGACCCCCGCCCCCTGCAACCCCGCTGCCCCGCAGCACACCCCCGCCACCGGACCACCGGCCCCTCAACCCCGACACCGCGGCCCGCCGACCCGTCCCCGCCCCCTCGCTGGGGCAACCCCGCACCCGCCAAGGGGGGTCCGCGCCCCCGGAAGGGACCCCATGTCGGGGCATTTTCTGCACGAGACAGAAAATGCCAGGGGCAGCACGGCGGCGGTAACACGGCGGCGGTACGCACCCCCCAGCATTTGTTTTTTTTTTTTGTTTTTTTTTCCCCCTTTACTGGGGCCGGCGTCCCGGGTGCCAACCCCCGGAACCCCGAAACCCCGGCGGGGTCCCGGGGCCGGGGGTCGACAACCCTGACTCCGAACCCCTTCACGTTCGAGTCACGTACGGGGACCCAAACGCCCGAACGTTCGAGGGTCGCCTTAGGGGCCTCTGTACGTTCGTCCTGGCAACCCTGGTGCCACATAAATTTCACTAATCTCCAGTATCTGGTGTTTTTTTTTTTTTTTTTTTTTTTTTTTCGTGAATTTTTTTAGTTTGGGAAATCCTCCTGCAGCAGCAGCCCTAAGCTCAAGGATGTGAAAGTTGTGACCGTGTGGTTGTCGTTCCATATGAAGGTGGTGTAGCAGCATGAGGACACATGTCAAAAAGTCTACGGTAGCAAATAAGCAATTGGTAGGAACTTAAGAAGTGAATTTGTGGTTCCATCCAGTAGGGACAGTGCAGAGGACACAAGCGGCGCAAAGGACAGATATAATTTATATGTTAAACAGAAGGAAGAGGTGATGATGGAGACGCGGGGGATGGAGTTGAGATCCAGATTCTTTAAGCGGTAAAGGAGAAGTGATGAGAAGGAAGGCCTGACCATTATGAAGGAGAAGGTGGGAAGGGGAGAGAAGAGGATACGAGGAGAAGCTATTCGCCGAAATGAACTGTTTGTCTGTGTATTTTTCTTCTCCGGGATAAGCAACTGGATTGTTGCTCCCCAGCATAGAAGGGGCGTTTTTTATTTAAAAAAAAAAAAAATGGAGGGGTATGATGGGTGGAATATTCTTAAAAAAAAGTGAAAAAAAGGTCTAAGCAAGAGGAGCGTGCCGATTGATAGGAACTTTCTTTTGTTTCTTTTTCAGACATCCCTTTCTCCATGGCGGATTTGTGTTTGCACGCCAAGTTCGAAAGGAACCCGTGCAACACTTGTTTTTTTTTTTTTTTTTTGGTTGACATCCAGTGGTCCAAGGCCCCCTAGAATGCAGTGGTAGATAAGGCCCCCACAATAGAGTATGTGGCATGCTTGGCATCTTACCTTCGAGACGGCCAGTTGGTAAGCAATTGCGTGTTAGCTTAGTGGGCAGAGCTCCGATGTTGCAAGGAGGAGGTGCGGGTTTGACTTTGTTGGCCCACAATTTCCCCTGAGCACAATTGGTTGGTGTAGGTTGCACCCCACGTACTTGTCCCGAGCATGGCATAGCCTCCTTACAGACTAATGACCTCAATAGCTCAGTGGGTAGATCCCTGATATTGTGAACTTGGAGGTCCCAGGTTCAACTTCATACTATATGCTCATTCATCATGTCTACATATACTGATTATGGATGATCCTTTGGATGGATTTGGGTGGAGACGTGTGGCTTTCCTGCAGGAGAGATGATGTGGGATGAATGCTACTTTCTCTCGGGCCGGAGAGTGGTAAGGGGTTGTTTGGGTGCATTGTGATAGCGTTGTCGGAGCAAACACCCTTACAAGGGTATTTGCCCATGATTTTGCATTCGATACAGTATCAACGTCGGTTACTGTATCGAGGACGGTCTGGAGTGGAAAAATGAGAATTTTTGACATAATATAGTAAAGCAAACTTTTCAACCACTGAGGCCGAGGTTTTTAGGTGGCTTTATGAAGTGATATGAATAACAGGTAAGGTTAGTAAAGATTAAAAGTCCTCGGTCGCAAGGACCGGAGGGTTAGATAAGAACAAGAAAATGTCGCGCAGGATGCGGCGACCAAGATTTGCATCAGTCAAAGGATCAGACGGTAAGGTAAAAATGAACTAGAACGAGCCTGGGGTCGTCGGACCAATCAATATGGCGGAACCGGCGGGTCGAGCCACTGTAACTCCGGAAGAAGATAAAAGAATTAATATAAACCCAGCCATGTGGCCGGGGCAGCAAAAGGAAACGCACTGCCTATCAAAATAAGAGACGGTTGTCGGCAATGTCCTAAGTTAACCATAGAAAAACAGGTCATGGGCCTGTTACACCGGTGGACCCAGCCCTGTACTCTACTTATAACAAAGTTGCCCTTGCCTTGATTGAATTAGGAGCTAACTTAGTAGATATAGGTGCAGATCAATATA